AGTATAATGATCTTGTTCAGACGCCTTGTATTATTACAGTATCGACTCTGTCGTCCACGCAGTGGATAATCTATACTCGAGAACAGTAACTCTCACGTCCTTACAGTTTCACCGTCTATCTAGTTCTGCCCGTCCCTTGTCCTTCTACATAAGAAGCCTGCTTCCTCGCGCTACCTGCACTCGTCCCTTTTATGCATGCGTCATACTTCGTTACGTCATTCGATAGGCGCGCCAATGCGCGTCTATACAAGACCGCTTACTTTACAGCTGTTACTAAATTAATTATTATTGGCATCATCTCAAACATGAATATGGAGATCGTTAAGTTTTCGTATGCAAATTGGGAAATTGAATGAGATTATCGTATATACTAACAGTTATTTCTTGATATATTTTACCAGCATAAAAATTAAAAATTATTGCACCAACAATTATTTATTGATATATCTAATAATTAAAATTAAAAATTTTGACAATTATGTTAAGAGAAATTTAATTATTTAGTTAAATATCTCTTAATATAATTAGAAATTTAAAAATGTTTAGTCAGTAATGTTTACAGGAAAATAAAAAAAGCGAAAAAAAGAACAAAGCAACACAAAAAATTAGTACACTTATTATTAATATTTTAGTTATTAACTTAAATTATAACATTCATAAACATTTTTAGTTTAATTACTAATCAGTTCATTTAAAAGCTTTTTAGCTCGGATGAAATTTAATTTAGTCATGCACGACTTTCTACAGCATTACAAAACATTGACTTTAATTAAAAATTCTGTTGTGTTATTATTTCATACTTCATTATATGTATATATTTTTCATTCGTGAAAGTATAATCATACCACTATAATATCTACTATAATATTGTGCCAGTACAGCTCACAAGAATATATGCGGCAATCTAGTCACGTAGTATACGTATATTCTTGGTACGGTATAGATCAATGTCGTCGATAAATCGAAAGATTTATCAGCCACTAGAATCTATAATATATTATTCCGCCTGGAACAAAGTGCGCCTTCGATCCGGGGAAGAATTATTAATGCCGCTTAACGTCTCTGCTGCAGTACTATTGAAACCAGGGGCTGCACTAAATGAGGATGGGCGAGCGGAAATGATTCGTCCTAGTAGCGCGATATTTCGCCCCGAAAGCGATCCGACGAGTCGCGCGTCACCAAACGCTCCTCGTTAATCCTCGCAAAAGATCTAGCAAACCCACACTTTGAAGCGCATTTTGAGTGCACTCTGCGTACGAAGGATAGGAGATACGACGAAGTTTTAAATAAAACCGTCGGTCGCGCTGTAAATCGCTGGAGTTGAATCGATATCGTCGGACGTCGTGTTTAATTAAGAATAATCGCGAATACGCGCCACTTTCCGCGTCTCTTCCCGCTTCCGATTGTATCCCCCCCCCTCCCCGCTCCCTTTCGCCCTCTCTCTCTCTCTCTCTCTCTCTCTCTTTCTCTCTCTCTTTTTCACGTCGGAGGGCACTCGAGGCGCGTCACTCGAGCCTGATTTATCGAGTGGACTGCCCTTTGCCCCTGACAACTGAAACTGCCCGGATAATTTAAATCGGCGGGAAAAGGAGCAGCCGTGACCCCGGCGGTTCTCTCCGCTCGCTCACATTTGTCTCTCCTTCTTCAGAACCAGGTGTCGCCGTGGTACAGGTGGTGGAAGAGCACCGTCAATGTCAGGCTTGTCGTGGACCCTCAATTGCTTCGCCGTCGACCCTCGGACGAGTCCTCTCAAGACCACGATGGGTCGAGGGAGACGACGGCGACGTCTGCGGTCGATACGTCATAAAGCGAATGTGTGTCGAATAAAAAGTGAAAGTAAGCACTGGGCTGACGTACACATATATAAAAATGTAACTGTAAAAGTCCCAAGACGTAAGTTCACGAATGGATGAAATAAACACGAATGTTATACTCGCGCAACGAAGATGTTATCGTAAGCTGACTCGTATGTATTACACGTTATTATTCAAGCTTTCAGTTATTTGTCGTTACTGTGTGTAACTATTCCGCATACAGTCGGAACTTTAATCCCGCGATTCCTCGGATCGCGTTGATCCGATTTTCATCACGCGAATTTCACGTACTTCTCTGAAGCTTTTCAACATTCGACGGAATTCGATCCCGTCCGTCTTTCTGGGCGTGAAAAAAAAAAAAGAAAGGAGACTCGCGTAATTCGCGCGACGTGTCGACGAATGCAGTCGCGCGGTGAATTGTTTTCCCGTTTCTTTCGCCGCTGATTGCTCGCGCGTCTCGCGTACGTTGTCCTTCTAGAAACAAAACAAAAAAAAGAAAACTTTTCGCATTTCTCATGGCGTGCCGCGCGCGAGATTTAATCGCGCAAATGAGATCTGAACGCGCGCGCACCAGGTATACATTAAACAGAAATACCTCGCGAATTTAAACGCGTGCTTTCTGCCAAGAAAAATTTAGCTAGCCGGCTAAGAGCTCGCGGTGAACGAACGGAAGTACTGCTGATGTAGCAATTAACTCATCTGGCACGACGCCAACTATTTATATTACGGCATTATCGTATATTCCATTCGTTGTTCCCTCGTCTGTTACCGCCTAGCTAATATTTCTTTCTTTTAAACTGAGAGAGAATGTGTGTTAAGGCTCGTACATTGACATAGATAGACCGAGCATACCACATGTTAGGCATGGGTGGCACGACTCTAACAAATGTTGTTATCTGTAGTATGTTATAGAGAAGAGAAAATCAGATGTACCTCTCTCTTTTGCACGTGCCGTCCATGCCTAACATATGGCATGCTCGGTCTAGCTATACTATGTCTACGAATTTGTAACGGAGTAAAGAACTTTAGTTAAAGTGCAGAAAGTATTCGTCGGAATCATTACCTACATATATCGTAGTCGTCGCTTTTAAAATAGATACGAAAGTCAAGATCTAAAATGTTATTGAATTTATTATCTATCTGAAAATTGATTTTTCATTCTAGAATTCTAGTACAAAGATAATTTATTCATAATGTGAGATTACATGGAAATTAAGCAGACACGCGCGAAATTAAGTTTTTCTTTTTTAAGGGAACATGATCCTATATTTGCCAAAGAACTCCATTGTCAGATTGAAAAAAAAACGTCATTCTCAATTTTCCCGAGCTATCTCCTTCCCTCCTAAAAAATGGACGTTTGCAAACCAATTGGAATGAAATTTTTTAACGCCCTGCCTTCTCCACGTCTGTGACATAAATCCAGGTAAATCGAAAGTCCGAAGCCACGCAATTAGCAGTAAACATCTCGCCTTGTCTCGCAGCAGTAAGCCCCGCTTAAATGCTGGCGTTACCGGTGACTTTATCCGGTAGTTAGTTAAGCTGCGACAAACCAATTACAGTGCTCCGCCGAGGGGGAAGGGGTGGTATTGACACTATTGACTATCGTTCTGAAACGCAGAGTGTTCGACGTTGAAAGGTTGAATACCTATGTTTTAATGATTTTATGAAAAATTGAAGATTTTTTGAGGAAATGTTTTCGAATAGACGTATGAAATGAGTAGTCACGTGATTCTCGATTAAATTTTATTCAGTATTGTATGAATGTTTGCCTTATAAATTTTAGTCAAAATATATAGGGTTTGTATGAGTTCATATTTAACATATTATCGCATTATTCGGATGTATTCACGGAAAGAATGATTTTGTTGAAAGGTCTAAAAATTTTGCTGAATACAGATCTGAAAATAATTTTTGTTCAATAATCAAAATAATTTGTTGGAAAGTTAAAAATAATAAGCATTGCTATAAAACGTTTTATTATTCTAGCAATCATTTTGACTTTTCAACAAAATTATTTTGATTATTGAGCAAAAATTAGTTTCAGATCTGGATCCACCAAAATTGTTTTTTTGTGTGTTAATATTCTTTAAATTAACTTTCTTTATATTAATTAGTTCTCGATAATCATAGATTAATTCTAAACAGAATATACTATATAAATAAACACTAAATAAATAATAAAAATAGAACATTTATTATAATATATTCATAATGGATTTTCTTTCGCTATTTACCAAAAATATTAGCAAATTATGCAACCTAGTTTTATGTCGTTTATTTATGCATCTAAGCATGCATATTTTCTCTTGTAACAGAGCAGGGAATATGTTATTTTCCTTAAAGCAACACTAGAGGATCAACTACCACGATTTTCATTGCACGTACGTTAACGGCTGCGAGATAAGGTTTATGTTTACTGGGGAAGTAATGCTTTTTCTAGCGACGAGTGTTGGAAAAATATGTTTCGAAAAATTAATTTTTCTCCGAAAAATATTTGTTGTAAAATTAATTTTCTTGTGATACTTTCCAAAGGAGATTGATCAAGAAGAAATTTATATTGATAAAGTTTTGTGATTGTTAAAAGGATGTATTTGCAATTTTTTTTATTAGATATACCGCTCTTTATTGTATAATAAATAAAATTCGGATAAATAATATATATTGTAGTAAGATGAATCGCTTTATATTACGAAAATATCAATATTTTTATTGATTTTATTTAAATAAATCGTTTTATTTATTTTTTTTTAAGCTGTGCAAAAAAATTCCCGAAAAACGTATGTTGGGAAAATACACTTACTGCTAGTGGTGAATATTATTCGAAACATTAATGAGAATTGTGTCAAGTTTGTTAAAATCATGTAATGTTCTGATCCGCATCTTTCGTGGAATTTGTTAATTATGAAGGATGATCAACTAAAAGTTAATTTTGTGTGCCTACAAAGAGTAGGATAATTTCTGGAATCGAGACTGGCATGCCAACATGGCCATTTCGTGAAAAGTTTTCTTTGCTCCAGTTAGCACCTTTTTCATATTCATTTCGGCTTGTTTAATTGCGGAGAATCTGCGTTTGTCCCTGTTTGTCCGACACTGGGGAGATTCATGACGTTAAGCGCCTCCCAACTGCACTGAAAAATGAAGAACCTAGCCCGGTGTCCCGACCTACATTTAGTCTCATTTGTTACCAACGTCTAACGACCTTATTGGAAGCCGAACAACTCTCTAGAATTTCTAGATAATCGAAAGTTAGGAACAACTTATTTCTCAATTGAATGCACAGCGAAGTTGCAATATTGATACTACAAATCTGAGTTATTGTAACAAATTCGAGAATTTCAACGGCTGCAGGCCAGAGAATACGTGCTGATGATTTTTGTATCTCGTATTTATCATTATCCGTCATATTCTATCAATACCTTTCTGGCAAAGTAACTTTTGAAGTTTCGCGTTTCCGTATCGTGAGAGAAAACGGCATCAATTAGGTTTCTCGATGTAACGAAATTGCAGGAAGTTCCGCTTTTAACTTATTAAAAACGTTTCTAAAGGAAAAACAGCATCGTATTACACTATCGTAATAATTTGAAATCTAATGATGCTAAGAAAAGATCGATTTCACGTTTGCTAAAATTTGTTGTTGAAAGGAGGATAAACAGTGGCTTTCTCTCATGAATTCTTCAACTGCCTTCAACTCATTAGAAACGTTTCTAAAGGAAATAGCATCGTATTACACTAATGTAATAATTCGAAATCTAATGATGCCAAGAAAAGATCAATTTCACGTTTGCTAAAATTTGTTGTTGAAAGGAGCATAAACAATGGCTTTCTCCCATGAATTCTTCAACATGAGACTCTGTGAAAATTCTATTAAAATTTCTTTTAGAGAGCTATCCAATTGAGCAAAGAATAGGGTGCTTGAAAAATAAATCGTTGCAGTCTTATAACGACCCAGTTTAAAGGTAAAATAAAGATGATATCTGCGAATCCTGCGGGACATGACTTTTGCAATCTATCTATTTAACTGGCCAGCTCGGGATGCCTAGTGGCCGAGCACGTATCCATAATTTAACTCGCTAATTTAGAAACTTTAAATTATGTCGCCCAAAGTGTGGATCAGTTATACTGGTCGCTCGCGGCTATGCGAATAATGAGAATTTCAATATTCATATCTGGCCTTAACGTGCGGCCATGATACCAGACTTTGACAAAAACAAAAAATGTTATTTAAGAGCATTAGCTGTTAGATTGTTTGGAAAACGTAATCTCCGCGTCTGATGAAAGCAGAAATTCTATATGGAAAGAACGATTTTATTGAAAGGTTTAAAAATTTTGCTAAAGAGATCTGAAAATAATTTTTTGTTGAAAATATCAAAATAATCAAAATAATTTGTTGGAATGTTAAAGCTAATAAGAATCGCTATAAAACATTTTGATATTTTAGCAATCACTTTGACTTTCGCACAAAATTATTTTGATTATTGAACAAAAATTATTTTCAGATCTGGATTCAGCAAAATTGTTCTTTCCATGTAGGTAATCATGCTGTAGTTGATCTTGTAATACCATTAATTTCAGTTACGAACAAGAAGCTTACGACGTTTAATGTATATTTGTTTAAAATATATCGATATGCGTGTGATATTTGCGAATTTAATTTTATTTAATTTTATAATTCATTAATTCAGAGCAGATAATTTTTATTTGCCTTTGTGATTTTAATTATAAAGTCGCAAGATTAATTTGTGCAAGGCTCTGTACTGAAACCGTTATGTCTACGGTCGTTTAAGAAAAATATATCGTATTAGCACATAAAAGGATATAACTTTTGCTCATGCGAGGAATTAAAAGATAAAACATCGTTGTAAGTTTTGAGAGCATCTACTAGAATTTAGGATGTCCCATAAATTGAGGTTCTTTATGAAAATTAAACGGCTTTTCTCGGAAAAAGACGCGAGAAAAGACGCAAGTTCTTGAATTAATATATATCCGTTGGATTTTTCACGGAGATTTAACGCGATTGCTTGCCTCGCTCGGGTATGAGCCTCGCACACGCGACTTTCATATATCGTGTAAACGTGGTGGCACATGCATAAGTTGGGATAATTCAATTCTTTCCCTTTTGGCCGTTGAGAGTTGCTTTACGTTCCTACTGAGAGCGCGCGCGTTTCAGTTTCGCTCGCTCGATATCGCGAGAAAGTATTATTTCAGTCGGGAAGAAGCTCCCACAGATATTCTCGTAAAGTCGATCATTTAGATCGAGCTGCAACATAATTTCAAGTGCGCCATTTTATTGCATGAGTTATAAGCACGTGAAATTTCGAGACGATAGTAACCGTATAAGTGGGAAATGCACATTAAAGAATATTCGAGAGGAAATTTCAGCGTTTCTTTACATGGTGCCCAAGTAATGATTTTCATATTTCTTAGTGCGGATATTAGCTATATAAATGCAGTATTTTAAAATCTGCAATATTTTTTTCAAAATTATACATAGGAAAGAACTAAATTAAGTCTTTAAAAGCGTTTTATCGTTTGAAAAAAGTCAAATTGATGTATAAGTATTTCTCGGATTTCTCGCAAAATTTAGTTTTTGTGTAACAATTATGGATTTTACTCCAACATAATATTTAAAATAACAAAGATAATGTAACGTTCTATAATATATATAACTCAAAACTGCAAATTATGTTTTTAGCATAGGCTTAACATATTTAAATTAACCTGGAAAAAAATCAAATATTAGCTTCAAAATCTACATGTAAAGAATGTAATTAATGTACAGCTATTCGTGTAAAATACTGCAAAATAAACTAATTTCCGAATGTAAATAAGGCAGTTTTGATTGTACAGAAAATGTATGCGTACGCGTCTTCCAACGAGTTCGAGCGAGAACGTACAAATGTAGACTATAGATCGGAAAAGACAAACAAGCTTGTCTTAAATATTTGCTATCTCTCGCAGAGGTAAAAATATGGAGTGCGAGTGTAGATATAGAGCGAGCGCGCCTCAACTGCATTTGCGCGCATATATGCAACGTAAATATCCTTTCTATTCTGTCAACTTTTGATGTGTGACGTGTGCTTTTGCAGAATGGCTTTTGTTACCGTAGAAGAATAAAATATTTCTGACAGCAGCTTGTTTTTCGCACAAATGGTGCGATTAATTTTTTTTAAATGCATATTAATATATTATTCCGCGAATGAATTTTAATATTTCATCTTACAGCTTTTTCAGAAATAATCTCCTGTTATAATGATAATCTTTCGTTACATGATATTTATTTTACAAAAATTTGTTTAAAGTTATAAAAAGAACGTGGCAATAAATTACTTTGCGCGGATATAATGTTTTTGTCTTTTTCCCCGTTTATTTTATATTTAATATTAAATACAATATTAAAATCACGCGATAAATCGATAATATTTATAGAGCTTATATTCGGCGCTTTGTAACACCGCGGTAGAAAGCCAGAAATCCGGAAAGACCAATTATCGATATTGCTGACTGCGAAATAGATGGAAAACGCGACTGGGTTAGGGCCGGCACGATATCCCGCGTTTCGCGCTGACCAATGAAATTTTTGAAAGGCCTTTGCATGCACGCGAAGAATTGGATTGTACGGATACCAAGTCGAAATAGCCGATTACTTTGGGGTACGAGAAATACTCGGGTTGGATCACTTGGTGAACTTGTTCAGATTGATCGCGAACGAATGGCAGCGCCTTACTTCCTCGTGATTTCCCTTATCTGTCATCGGCTTGATGTCGACGAGAAACTTGAACGAAAAGAATTTGGGATTGCAGTCAATAAATCAAAGTTACAAGGACTAGGGTTGAATTTTACGTAAATAGTGGATCCTTCCTTTGTGCAAGAAATTTACTTT